ACACAGTGTCTGGTGACAGGAAAAACTGTTGCTACAGGGTTTAAAAGCACAGACCTGTTTTTGATTCTGGAAGAGAAGTTTCAGTTGGTACAGTTACTTGCTGCTAAACATACAGGAATTAAAAACACAACCACTCTTACAGACCATGATACTGTCTTGCCATACAGCTCTTGGTTGGTCTCGTAAAATGAATAATGCAATACGTAGACAGCTTTTTATAAAGCTTTACATCTTTTCTAAGAAATCAAAATTTGGATGAAGTTAGTTCTAAACATTTAATGTGAAAGGAAAAGGTTGTTTTGAAGAAATTTGTTACATATTTCATATTAGATCCCTGAGGCTGCCATTGTACAATATACAGCACTGATTTAATACATGCTGAATAAATAAGTAAATGGGTAACCTCAAGTATAGTGGTACAAATACTAATAGGTACGGCATAATAAATATGCAATCTTTTTGAATCTCTTAGTTTACAGCAACTAATTTATTCAGTATTGTGCTGGAAGAACATTTTCAGATGATGTAAAACATATCACTATATATACTACCTTCCAGCTACCCGTTTATGCTGCTGTATAGTACAAAAATACCAATGATAGAACAATGTTTGTCCTGTAAATTTAATTTGATATTGGACAGTTATTGTCTGTACAAACTAAAACATATATGATTGAAACTGTTCATTATATTTGCTATTTCTGCTTCACAGATCTGTTTTAAAGTTGAGCTGATTGATCTGGCTTTGTCTTCCATTGTAAATATTGTTCTGTTGTTTTCTTTGTAAAACACATCGCGTTTGCGGTTTTGGGAGACTGGCTTGAAGCTCTGTATAGTGTTTATATTTATCTGACTTGGCTTTCCATAGAGCTACTTGCAGTAAATACGTGTTCATGTAGCTCCGTGTCTGGGTTTTATTTTTAAACAAACTTTTGCTTTTTCCTGTCAGAAGTGTTTCTTCCTGCTGTGGCTGCTTCTGTCACCCTGCATCCCTGAAGATTTGGAGAAGCTTTTAGCACTGTTTCAGGGCAGTGATTCCCAGTGTGTCCAGTTTTCTGTGCCTTTACACTTAGTGTAAAAAGTAAGAGACAGCAAAATAGCCAGAAATTTTCTTTGCCATGGATTCATAGTGTTGGTAAACAACTAAGTTTGGAATGAAAAAAAAATCAGTGCCTGATACTTTTTCTGCTTTAAATGTTGCCCATGACAGAGTAGGGAAGAAATGTTTAGCATTGTGGTATCAAATAGGGTTCTGACTTTAGGGTAGAAAGGAACAAGTGTGTTTCGCTGTTTTATCTTTTGCAGTGACACTTGGGTTTGATATGTGTTAAGTAAAGTCTCAGTATGTAAAACCCAAATGCAAGTAGATAATCTCATCATTTTCAAGTAAGGCACCTGCTTGTAAAAACAACTGAAGTCAGAAAATACCAACAAAATGGAGCGAGTGCCTTTTCAGATTCCTTACTGAAGTGAAGGATATGGCAATATTTTTTTTATAAAAAGAGGCTTTTATCCATAGATGGAAATGTATATGATCTCCATAAATGTGGGTGATTAGTGTGAAATATCTTGGATGAGACCTTTCTTTAAAATTACCTAATTTAATTTTACCCTGTTACTCAGAATAGTGCATTGAAACAACTCCCTGGAAAACTGAAGTTTGCTGTAAGGATAGGGTTTTCCCCAAATAAACCAGCCCCTTTCTCAGGGCCCCACTGCATAGTGTGTAGCCTGGATTGGGAAGGAAAGGAGAAGAGCCTGCTCAGCCATGGCAGAAAGAGCCCTACCAGCAGTACAAACAAACAGTGACCATTATCCAGGCACTGACCAGACTGTTGGACAGTGTCATGGTAGTTATTTCAAAATACCTTTGACTGGACCTGAAATGGGGCAGCTGCTGGAGGGTTGTGGGGTTTTTTTGGGGGGGGCTGAGGGGTTGTTGGAGTTCATAGTTTTGCACTAATTTTTCAATTTGGGTGACAGAGCTCTCTTGCTTCTGAAGTGTGGTGAAAGCCCTCAAAGCTAGAAGGCAAGTTGGATTTCCTGACTGAACCTGAAGACAGTCACTAAAACACATCTTACAGGTCTTTGTTTTGAAATGCATTGACCAGTTCTCCTGGCTTTTGCATCTCCCTGAGCTCTCTGGTACTGGACATAACCAAGTATGAGGGAGTGAGGGGTTCACAGCAGGGAAGAAGGATCTTGTCAGAGTTACCAGGTATCAATACAATCTGTATTGGATTTTTTTCATCCCTGCATCCTGTCTTGGCTATAGCAGTAGTTCCCTCAGATATATAGAAGAGCTGTGGAGCAGCATGTCTGGGGGGAGAGCAGGAGCACTGAGCTTGCTGTGCATGTCTGGAAGGTGAGACCTTGTCCCCCTTATCCCCTTTTGTTAAGGAAACAAACACATCAAGCTCAGTTTCTTTGGTTTTCTTCTAAGTTTGTTAATATACAGCTTTTTAAAGCACCATTATGGTTACAGCCTGACTGACTGTGAGGAAAGCTCTGCTGTTGGCAGAGCAGCCTCAGCCACCATCCTGTGCTACAGCTGGGAGCCAGAGAGCCTTTGGGAAGGACAGGAGGATGTCTGTGTTACTGCCCAGCTGCTGTCACCTCACTGCCAGCTGGGGCTGCCCTTGGGCAGTGTTGACCTCTCTGTACAAAGAGTTAAAAATCTTTCTTTCCAAAGCTAATAGTTCTAGATACTTATCCTATATTTTAAATGTAGAGCACTGTCACTGCTCCCCTGGGCTAATCACTGCCCCTGTCTCCCAGTAGCAAGTGTCCTGCTTTTTGCCAATAAACTAACCTGGAAAAACTAAATTTATTCAGCTTGTGCTTCTAGTGGAAGTAGCCATGGCAGCAGAAGTATTGTGTGTCCAGCAACATTGCTGGGTTGGCTGCAGTGTAACTTTTCTGGGAAGGGCCTGTTAAAAACACATAACACTGCTCCCAACAGCACAGTCCTAAATCCAGCAAAACAGCACTGCCTCAGGTGCGTCCTGAGGGTGGCACATGTACACAGTTCATGCAGCAAACTGAACTAAAAAACACTCCAGCTGGATAGCAAAGTATATAGGAAATAATTGCAGAACATCAAATTTTAGAACTTGGGCATTTGTTGCTTGTAAAATCAATATACGTTTTTTTAAAATTCTAAAACTACTTTTAAAAGTAGGTCCTTCCTTCACCCTGTGTGGGGAAATGGTCACTCTGGAGGAACTAACCTTTCCAACAGAGGACAAAGTGTTACAGGCTTCAGAGCTTCTGCAGCACAAGGTTTGTGTGTGGCAGTCTAGTTCATGGTACAGAAGTGCTGCTGCACTAGGAACAGTGTAAATCCAAGTCAGGCACAAGATAGACCAACAGTATGAGATTAGTTATGAGAATAAAAGCTTTAGTGAAAAACATACCAGACATCAGGAGAAAGAGCCTTAACTGGAGCTGGAGAAGTGCTGTCTGCAGCCGGATCGTGTTTAGGTGCTGTTGAAGATTATTTTAAGGCTCTAATGTTCAAACCAGTTTTTTTTCTTTTTTAATAATAAATCTGCAAACAAAAACTTTTACCTGTAGTTTAATGTTTATATAGTGATGGATAGCACCTAGAGGCCCCAACCAACATTTGAGCCCCCTCAATGTCTCTGCCCCAAGGAGCTTACAGTCTAAGCATCAAGAAGCAGGAGAGAAAAATAACCGTGTTTTCTTTTATAGATCAGTAACTCCGATCCAACACAGGTCAAGTGATTTACCTGCTCTAAGGCACAGATGGTGTGGTGGGAATTAACCCAACATCTCTTGAATCTCTGCTGCAGGTCTCAAGTTAAAAGATGTTCCTTCCTCTCTAGACCACTTTTCTCTTTGTAAAATACAGCCCCTTTGGAATTCTGAGCCTGAAGCTGATTAAGGTTTAGTACTGTTCTCCAAGTCTGGGCTGGAGCTGCAGGGACAGAACAGAGAATGGAGCTGTCAGAAGTGCAGCTGCTTTACACACTTCACTTTTCTGTGGTCATCTCACAGCTTTGGGCCCTGAAGCTGCCACATGACCAGCAGGTCTGGGAGCTCTCTGCCTCAGTCTGGAATGGGATCTCCTGCCTTGGTTTTACATGCTGTGAGAGAAGCCCAAATCTTATAAAGAAGCACCGGTTATGCACTGCTATAACAAATGCGTTCTGCCCTTGCCCCGGTCCCCACATCTGAACACTTGTTGCTGGTGAGCACAAGATGGGGTGTTGGTAGGGAAGGCTGAGTGAGCTCTTCCTTTGGGAGCTCCTTGACTTTAGCATCCATTCTTCTGCTTTTCTGGGGCTAGAGATTGGCTGCTACGTTCATTTTAGACTTCTGCGGAGCCAGCAGTAAGATAAGGGCTTGTGTTTACATGAAGAGACTGACTTACTATTTTATTTCAGCTTTGGTAACAAGTTCCTGACTTGGAGGTAGCAGCAGGTTCAGATTATTTCTATATGCATCAGCAAACCAAACTAAAATGAGCTGAAAGATGCACATTGCTGAATCGCCCACTCTCTACCAACGTATATAACTGCAACTAATTGAAAAAAGACAAAGCCATTAATATTTTGCACTTTAAACTAAAGAACTTCAGTTTCATACTTGGTTGAAAGCTTTTGAAATCAGCACCAATCTCATTGTATCACTGCCACCTGCTCAGTCACCAATCCTATGTCTTTTGTCAAATGTGCATAAAACAGGGAGATGTTGGATGCTCCATGTTTACAGGGATAACAAGGATAACTGGAAGGTAAGAACGAACAGCCATTAGCAGATAAATTACTGAACAGTAGTCAATAAACAAATACACATCACCTGTATAGAGCAGTACGTTAATTCCCAAGTTAGGCTGTATTGGTAGTGGAGGTGGCAATAAACAACGGAAATATTAAAGTATCATCACTTGACAAATAGTCCTGCATTGTCAGGGAGCTGTTTATACACGAGGGTAAATGAAACGGCACTGACCATAGAAGCTGAACAGTCATGCATACAAAAGTGATCACTTTTCAGCTATTGCACAAGGAGTGACACTCTTAAGACATACACAGTAGGATTCTTACAAACTGACATCAGAAAGACTGCATGCACCATCTTTCAAGGCCTTATGTGAACTATACATACACAAGAGTTGCTGTATACCGTAAATACACTGTGGATGTGTATAAATTCACATAAGATTAAAAGATTAATCTGTAAATAGGAAAGTTTCCACCATCTTCTGCTTTATTTTATTCAGAAGGTGTTTTAGCATGTACACTATTTAAGATAAAATGTAGGACACCACTTCAGAGTTGAGGTTTTATGTGAGCATCATAAATGCTTCGGTAACTGGATATTCCCAAGGGACAGGTTTGGTTAAACCAAACTACTAAAATGTGAATGTGACTTCTGAAAAGAAGGATATAGAATATGGCTAATAATTTCACATATTTTCACAAGATTAAAAAAACCCTTTTCAAGTGGATTGGGATTTCTAAGCACAAATAAAACCACTGATAGCGTGGTGTACAACATTTAAAACCCTGATCGAAATTACTTCAGAATAATTGTGCATTCCCCAAATATATTAGGTTGGCAACAGAGGAAGGAAATGAAAAATTAAATGCATAAGTTGGTCTAAGAGGGGTAAATTCTCTCTGTACCACAAGTTTCATAATAAAATACTGTTGTATCTTTTAATTTTAGACATGAGAATTTTTATATCAGTCTGGTTTGTTTTCTAAACGACTGAAAATTTCAACTAAAAAGGTGTTTACACAATATACACATTTCATTACTTACAAAGAGAAATAAGCTTAAAATTTCATATTAAAAACCTGGGATACAGTAGGGTTAGTAGCACCATGAAAAATGTTTTTCAAAACTGCAGTCTTGTTATTTTAAACATACTCAGTGCGTCGTGTCTTTCTCTGTTCTCTTGGTTGATCAAAAAGGTGCCATTTTGGTACAGGGAGAGAAATGAAAAATTTCATCTTCTGATCCTTTATGAACCTCGAGTGTTCTTTTCTGTTTCCAAGAGGTCAACTCTTTCATCTTAGTCCTGTTGTCAAATATGTACTGAACAACCCTTAGTTTGGCACGTGAGTGAGGTACACTTGAATTTGCACGGTTAAAACAGTTTGGATTAGTTTTTTTCTTTTCTTTCTGCACAGTAGCACCATTGTTGCAGCTGGAAGACAGTGCATCTTAGGAATTTTCAACTGTTTTATAAAACGTTCTCCAAGACGTTACGTCTTCTTCATACAAACTTGACAACGACTAATCCGCGTCCTCAGGTCTCCAGCTTTCAGTGTCTCTGACTGAGGTTTGCTGGTTGACAGACACAAAGGAAAGGTTGGGTTAGCTTTTTTTTTTTTTAGAGACCTGTTCCTTTTAACTTCTACCTAATTCACATTTTAATACAACACTTAAGTACATGAGTGGGGAATGAATCCTGGATTTGAGAGTTTTCTTTAAGAGTGATTTTTTGTCTGTCCCCAGCACCAGGTGACAGATGCTCAGTCATGTCCAGTGTCAGTGTCCCCAAGGTATGGTAACCACCTGTTTCAGGTTGGCAGGTGATGGAACACAAACACAAACTGAAGGGGAGGTGAATTTTGTACATTTGAGATGATATTTCTGAGGTCTTTGTTTCTGTCCTTTGGGTTTCTTAGTTGAAGGGTACTTCATATAACAAGTACTGCTACAGTAAGAGCTGTATTTAAGTGATGGCTTTACCATATTATTTATTTTTATTCTGAAAGGGTAAGGAGATGGGAGATTAATGTGATTACTTTGTGTAATATGTGCATAAACAGAGTAAGTCCAATTCTTAAATGTTTCTTAAAAAAATATAATAAGGAAGTTGCTTTTATGGGACAGAGAAAATACTAGAGACAGAAAACTCAAAGGTGCATGGTAGTTCCTAGTAGGAATTTTTTACTAGAGAATTACCACTAATCAACTAACCAGAAATCTGAAGAGTGATGATTAATCATGTCAAGTATCCTGACTGTAGGGGTTACACAAGAAAAGCTTAGGGGCCACCACTGCTCTGTAACACAGTGCAGAGTGCCAGCCCTCTGTGACAAAGCTACACTTTTCAAGTAGGTGGCAGTGGGAATATTATGAGGTTTTTATCAGCACACAGACAGGGCAGTAGTTATTTATTCTATGAAAGGAGATGACTTTTCAAAGAAAAAATTTTGCTGCTCCAGTTGAAAGGGAAAGAGTTCAAGGAGCTGAGAGACTCCAGCTGAAATACTGACTGCAGAGAAGCTGAGGACAGAATGGCCACTGGCTTCCTTGCAGCCAAAATGTCATCCTGTTTCCTTCTGCAAAGTGTGGTGGAAAATGCTGGCCATGGAGGGTAGGAAACCTCCTTTACACAAGACTTTTAAAAAAACAGTTTAAACATCTGCCTTAAAAGGTTTAATTAGAGTTGATCTTGCCCTTCATACCTGTCTCTTGTTTGTCTGTATTTTTCAAATATGAGTTTATTGAAAGGTCTGCTAAGGAAAAACCCAACAAATTGTTCTTTTAGGCTCCAAATATAGTAAATACAGTAGGACTACTTTCAGAGAAAGTACTGCAACAAAATGTGAATAAGGATTGACACAGAAAAAAACTGACTCCTTTTAAAACAGCATGTGCCCTAGCAAGTTTTTACATATTAAAGGCTTACCAAGGAAACACTTGAAAAACTGGTTGTGAGGGGGAAAACAAGCTAAATTATTTCCCTATACCCCTGTAAACAAATTTCTTTGATCTCTGGCATAAATTCAGTTTCCAAAGTGCTCATTCTGGAATAAAGCAATAGACAAGAAACAGGTTTTCTTACCTGAACATTTCTGACACCTCTACAGTTGCCAGCCAGAAACTGTAAGAATTGGCATAGTAATTACAGGTGCCCCGACCGTGGCACTCGATGAACGGCGCTGAGCGGAATTCCTCCAAACAGGATCCAGGCGATGCCAAGGCCTGTCCAGAGCCCTCTGCTCCAGCACTAGTGTGCTGGTGGAGGAAAGAAAGACACAAACAAGAATCTTAAGTGCTAAAAAATTCAATAGCACAGCATTCAGCCACTAAAAGACTCGCTGTCCATTCTTGGCAGAGATGATGTGGTGTCAGACACCTCCCAGTTACACTGGGATCTGTGTGCTGGAGAATCCCTGTCAGTCTTGCCTACCTTGGTTAGTGATGGAAGGTAAAGGCTTTCAAATGACAACCCTTGGAGTTCTGAACAACATCCCAAAGCAGCTAGTGGAGGACACAGGTGGGCAGTGGCTGCCTCTGGAGTACGAAGCAGTTCTTACCATCATGAAAGAGTAGCCGATCCAAAGGGAGTCCCAGCCTGGAGGACATGAAGGAATCTGAATGGTCTGACTGTGGACAGCTATCACCATAGCAGGAGCTTCACACACAACACATCTGGACACAGGAGAAGTAGCAGAGAAACAAATGACATTGAAATATTATAGGAGTATGTTTTATTAAGAATTCTTACACAGAGAAAGAGAAGAAAACTAGCCTGTGAGAGGCCCTCCTATTAATCTAGACTTCTACTTCTCACATATTTTGTAATTTTGTAATTGCAATAAGACAGTATTTTGGAGTGTGAGATCTGTCTGTATTTTCACTACATGGGGTAAAATACTGAAGCAATTCCTGAAACAAAAGCTGGAAGCTCAAAGTCCCCAAGTGAACACCTTACTCCTAAAGCCAATGTCTCCCATGTTCTCTCTCCTGTTCATGGCAATCTTGCTCTGGTTACTACAGAGATCCCCTGGTTGGGGGGAGCTCTTGCAGCCTTTAAGCCTCTCATTACCACTGCTGCATGGAGACAGACCCTTTAAGATAATGAATACTTTTAAAACAAGCTATTTTCCTTGTTTTCCCCAGAGCAAAACATGGCAGATTCATCTCCTAGTACCCAACCTGCATGTTGAAAACACATGGATAAGACATTCTATCTATCCAGATTTTAAAAGAGACCCGACAGCCTGCTTTGTCTCACCGGCTAATGAAGGGCTGGATGCTTTGCCCAGTCAGTGGCTCCATGCTCATGGGCATTGGCTCTGGAGTCGACAGCCAGTAGGAATAGTCATTCCTTGATGCAAAGTTACAAACATTGTTGATGTTGCAGAACATGAAGGGCATGGTGCTGAACCGCCTGAGACAGCTCCCAGCAGTACCTACAGAGTAAGATACATAAAATGTGACAGGGAAGTTTTCACTTCATTGCTTTTTATAGCAATTCTTTGAGAGCAGTAATTGTGTATTCTTCCTCTCCTCCTGTGAGTGCACAGCATGTGCTATCAGATTGTCACATGTGGGAAAAACTTAACGTCTGTGTTCTGGTTTACATTCTTTCATCCTGAATTATCATGTGGAGCCTCTGGAGACAGCAGATCTTAGTATGCAATCCCCATCCTTATCCAAGAAATCTCTAAGACTGTCGTATCTTCAGAGAACCAGAGCATTCGAAGAAACAGCTACAACCTCTTTCCTCTTAAAGACAGTGCATACAAAATATCTCACCCAAATCCTGGCCATGTGCTCTTTCATTTCCTTGCACGTATAGAAGAGAGAAGCCATCATATATTCTTGATGTTCCCTGTGGACAAAGTGGTGTATCCCTGGTCTGGCTGTGCCGAGTTATAAGGAATCCGTGAGCAACAGAAGCTGTTCCAGGAGGACCAGGTGGGCCTTGTAAGCCATCAGGGCCAGGAGGTCCCTGTACTCCTCGTGAACCTGTTCACATGAGAGAAACACAGCACACAGTAGTTATTAACACCATTTCTTGCTCTTTTAGGACCAACGTAGCTCTGAAAGGCAGCACAGTCCTGCGACTGAGGTGCTGGTGAATTCGGGCACCTGGTATCTGCTCACACCACCCCCCTGACATTTTCTCTGTGTTGTAGGGTATTGTGAAGTTAAATACATTCAGGGCTGTGAGGCACTAAGATAACTGCAGAGGACATGACAGCCAGTAGAATGAGTTCAAATTAGCTTCCCAATTGCAAAATACATCTGTGTGTGGAGCTTAATAAGATGATGTTGAAACATCTTGCTCAAGATAACAAAATAAACGGCAGAGGCAGAAACAGGAGCAAGTCTCACTTTGGGGGCATACTGTGGTAACACTTGAGCCAAAGGCCATCAAAATTAATAGAAAAGCTGCAGCCAGTTTTGGAGTAGGTTACAAAAAGTGGAAATAAGCTGGAACAGCCTTGAATGTGAGCAAAAGTGAGTCAAATGGTTGAGAAATGTATCAGAAAAGGATGTTCTAGAACAGCAATACCAGGAATTATAACTACATATATTTAGACTATGTTATTCTACAGTCATTATTTACATTTTTCCCCTAAAATAACACTAACAGATTTCATAGAGCTGCTCAGAGAAAAAGGAAAAACAGGCATTATGGATTTTTGTACTCTTTTAACTATTAAAATTCTAAACTTTTTCTCACAATTTTTAATATAGAGCTACTTAATATCTATCATCATCTTTAGAAAATTGTCCCAGAGCCTATTCTGATTTCTCAAATCCTAGTTCAGGGGTTCTAAGTGATAGCTGCACGGTAGCTTGATCTCTGCCTTGGGTGAAATTCTTTCCTTTATGAATTTTTTTTTCCCCATTCATGATTTGCATGCAAAATAAAAATGATTTAACTAATCTCTCTCTTCTGTTTCTTACAATCTTCATTATCTCCTCTACATCATCTGTGCTGCAAAGAAGATGCCAGTCAGCTTGAGATAAAGCACTCAACAATATTAATCAGCAATGACCAAGCAATGTGTTGGTTCTGAGAATATTCCAAACCAAAGTATGTTCAGCTGCTTTTAATATTGTTGCATTAAGAAAATCCTAAAATTGTGATTCTATCATTATTCCCATGAGACAAAGATCTTACTTCCCAGTATTAGCTTGCACTCAGAAATGGGAGTATCTCTAAACACCATACCTGGTTGGCCTGGAAGACCCCTCTCTCCTTTACGTCCTGCTGGACCATCAAAACCAGGTAGTCCATCTCTCCCGGGGTCACCAGGAAGACCAATTGGACCTAGAGTAGACAAAAACATAACTGAAATAAAACCTCTTGAAATCTCACTACAGAATCTTTAAATTGCCTCGGACTTATCTTTTGTTTCTTCATGATATATAAGAACAGCCCGTTGAACCAGAAATATATGGTGGAACCCTGCATTTATCTATTGCTTTTTGCTGAGCTCAGTCACTCATCTCTGCAGCCTCTGGACGTAACTGGCATTGCATCCTGCACTCAGCTCTACCTCTATCATTTCCTCTGCAGCCACTCAGGATCATACCTGGCAATCCCTGTGGCCCTGGCAATCCAGCTTCCCCTTTGGACCCAGGCTGTCCTGGAGGACCTGGGGGACCAGGATCACCTTTGACAACAATGCTTCGTCCAATGGTACCTGGTAAACCTGGTGGACCTGAGAGAGAGCAGACTAGTATTAGATAAAGCAAGGTGGAAAAGAGCATTAGAAACAGTTTGTTTATTGCAAGATCAGAAGCCAAGAGCTCCATCAATGGAAAGAATAAGTGTATATATAGGACAAAAAAGTGCTCTTGGTGAACCCCTCAAACGACCACTCCTGCAGGAGTTAATCCATGTAGACTGGGCAGAGTATAAAATATTTTAGGATTACTTGTAGGGGCTAAAAAGTACACCCTGGAGCTGTGTTGAAGCTGTTGCTCACTTAACTACTTTCATTACTGGGTGAGACCAACTCGGTCTTACATCTGTGCAACAAATTCTGCTGGCGGGGAGCAAAAGTGACAGTGCCACTACCCAGGACTCCTACCTGGTGGGCCTGGCAGTCCCTGGCTGCCTGTGAGGCCAGCGGGTCCTGCAGGTCCAGTGGGACCCTTCATACCTGAAACATCAAATGCACACAGTCACACAGTGAAAGAACATGCTGTTTTACAAACTCTGCTGCACGAACAGCCAAAACAGGCTGTTACTGTGTCTGGAGGTTTTCACTTGAAACGCTATTTAAATGCCTGGGAATCCCCAGTTAAATACCTGGGAATCCTGGAACGCCTGGAACCCCGGGGTCCCCCTTCATTCCATTCAGACCCGGACGGCCAGGATCCCCCTGGAAAAACAGCCTCACGTTATTCACTCCTCTCCTCTCGGTTTCAGAAACAGAATGAAAGGTGTCTGTGCACAAACAAGCAAACTGGGGGCTGTGAAGGGCTGAGGCACACGGGAACGTGAGGCTGCGTCAACAGCTCCAGCTCCCACAGGAATACAGCAGGGACATCCTGCCCAGATACTGGGGGATAGTTAAAGAAAAGGCTCTTTTCCTTGCTACAAGACAGGGTGTTAGCTACCACATTTTGGCTTTTATTTTATTATGGAAAACTGCATATTCCACCCAAATACATTCCATTTCTATTGCATTTAAAAATTAACAAGGGGAAAACTCCATTTCTTGTCCTACCTGGCGTCCAGGTGGTCCTTGATCTCCCTTTGGACCAGTCAGGCCAGGTGGACCAGGTGGACCCGGGTTCCCTTTTTCCCCTTTAAGTCCTCCAGGGCCTGGTGGCCCTCGTGGACCTTCTGGGCCTGGTGCACCTTAACATTGCAGAACAAATATACACATATCAGTACATTTCAACCATTCTCCCCGGGTTTGTGCCTTCAGAATGAGAAAAAAAAATAAATTAAAAGATATTTTGGCTTGACTTCCCAGCTCTATTTCAATGCTAAATTCAGGGTAAACAAAAAGGAAAACAAATAGAGGGATTATTTGCACTACCCAAATCAGGAACCAAGGCTCCTTATCTAGCTGAGGGAGAGAAGCAGGTCTTCCCAGAAGGCAGTGCAGCTCACCTGCGTTAGCAGCTTTCCAGTGACCAGAGCGGTGCCTTTACTAGGAGCCAAGAAACCCAAAATTAGATGGTACAAATATCCCCTCTGCTGACCTGCATTGCATTCACCATGTCTTAAGTGCTATTTAACAGCCTGGACTCCTTTTGAAAGCTAGTCTCAACAATGTAAAATGCTGCTGCTTTTTTGCCGTTAGGATATGACACACCTATTGAGCAGCCCTTATATACTGTCACCTGACTGCTGGACAGCAGGAAGCTCATCATTCTGCCTTCCCTGAATAATAATCTGAGTTGCAGAAACTTCTTTATGTTGAATCTCCCTCCGACTGATTTGTCTTTCTTCAGTAGAATTACATTCTGTAAATCCAATGGAGGAACTGGGCTGTTCTTTAAGTATTTTCCCTTTGCTACAGCAGCATTAACCCAAAGCAAAGCAGTGGATTTAAAAGAAAATTAGGTATCTGCAGAGCTGAAAGATGAGACCTATACCTTTATGCCACCACCTAAATAGAAGGTAACAGTAATTTGTGGCAAAACAAACTGTAAGCAAATGCAGGAACAGCTAACAAGATTTTGCCAGTTAGATCTCATAACTGGATTAACAAAAGGATCTCTTTGCAGGCCAGTGCTATGACATTCCCCCCTGCAGTACAACAAATCCAATAATATTTATGAGTGTGCTGGATTTTCAGCTCTTCTGCAACCTTGAATAACTTAGCATCTCCTTTGACATCCTCATAGTCTATATTCAATGAATTAATCTGATGACTTGTATTTCTGCATGCAAATTTGAGTATAGAATTCCTTCTCTTTTTAAATCAACAGCAATTTTTGTACCAGATTTCACACGTATCCTGTAGCAGTTTCAGCTACAGAAAGCATCCCATCATGCAAAGATTTTTTGTGTTCATTTTGTTCTTTTATACTGGTCTAGTACTGTACACATGCAAAATAATACCAGGTTACCATCTGAGGCATGCTAATCAAACACATATGGTCTGCAGGGTAACCATAGCCCTTAAAGAGACAATGACAGAATTACAGGAAAACATCTGTTTCTCTTACATCAAGTGCAAGGCAGTAAAACAAATTGACCGAGTTAAGAGTCTAACCTGGAGGACCTGGAAGGATCAGAGTTCACCAAAGCCCAATGATCGATGTTAGAAGGGTCAGACATCACACAGTACAAAACAAGATTACTAGTTAGAAATAGTACAGATGACAGCATATACACTACACAACAACCCATTTCACCAGCACATTTTGCATTTACAATATAATCCACAGGCATGCATAAAACCACACATGAATACGACAGGAATTTTCAGATACAAGTTATTCTGGTGACTAGGCTCTACTAACTTGACACTTCATTTAACAGCAAACTCAGAGCTTTACTAACAAATGTGTTATTGCTCTAACATTACAGCTAAGGCCTATGGCTGGTTAGTCCTGGCTCACAAGAGGTTTGGACTATGTAACCATTTCACTGACAATATTCAGCCTCTCAGGGCCTGGAACCTGGCAAACAGGCAGGTGAATTGTGAATGACAACTTAGCCTTGAGCAAAATTCTGCTTTGGGTAAGGGGGAAGTCTGACTTAACAGAAGGACTTATCACCACAAATCAGGTGTGAACCTCATCTATCTGTGAATACAATTCTAGGACTGAAAAGTAGGCTTACACCCACTTGGAAATGGAAGGCAGGATTGACATGGATCAAGAGGGCTGCAAATGCAAAAATACAGCAGAACTTGCAAATTTAGAATTTGCTGTCTTTATTGTTGGCATTAGTCTTTCCTGATAAAATTATTCCAAGATGCTAATTTACCTGTTTAAGGATATCATGGAGAATGGCATGTGATAACATCCTTGGAAAAATGATTTAAATGTCCTCTTTCAAAAGGTAAGCTGGTTGTCCCTCCTATGCTCCTAAGTTAATACATATTTTAGCTCCTGTGCCACTTGCATCTTTCATGTCAGTGAAATGATTTAAATATATCAACATACCACCATGCAATTTGCAGCTAAAAACTACAATAAATACACAACAGGTTTACCTCACAGCACTACTTCTTACATATTTGATAAATTATTTTAAATACTAACTGTAAACAGTTGTTAAAAATAATGACATGGACATTTCATTGTTACTGTTAAGTACTTATAAACTATATTTCACTGATAGGTAAGTTTTGCTATGATTTATAAATCTGTTCATCACTGAATTCTGGCTGAGCACAAACACAGGGTGGAACAAAATGTGAGGCAATTGCTGAGCCCCTCCCAGCACCCCCATGATGGCAGCGCTCCTTTAAAGTGTGGTTACTGCTTGGCTGACCACAGTTAAATTAAAAGGTAAAGCCACATTCATTTTTTTATATGACTGCATAAAGCTGGGATTCAAACTTTAGGGGCTGCCACATTTGCTACCTCACAGTGCTTAGGACAGCAGGCTAAAAACTGAAATGTATTCCTCTATGGAATTTTCCTGACGTTTCTTTGCTTCCTGAAAGTCATCATAGCAAAACCTAAAGATATCATTATTATTATTAAGTAGATATACCAAGTCATTTTCAATCCAGACACAGACTTTAAAAATCCTCCCAAGTGCCAGTTTGTGTTCCATGTTGATACTCTAAAGTTAAAATAAACTTCTGAAAACAACCATGTTCTCACCAATCCTGTCCCCCTGCCCTAGTGCCAGGGAGGGAGGGCTGTGAGCTTTATTTTAATTAAATACTTGTAAAAGGAAGAACTTTCCTCGTTTCCTCTAAATGTTCTGATGAAGCAAAGCAATGGAACTAAGGATTTCTCTTCACTGAAAAGTTACAGTGCTCTAAGTTGGGAATGTAAAGCATCACTCTTAGTCTGTATAAGTTTTCTATACACACTGTTGGTATAAAATAAATATCTAATTTATTTAAGCCACTTGAGAGTGTCCAAAATCAAGAGTGGCAGGTGTTACAAAAACGAACGGTGCCACTTGCCCAAGCTGCGATACACAATCATACAGCAAAGGCACAGGAGGACAGTGCAATGTGCTTTCTAAAAAAAGATGAAAACCACTACATATTATTTTCAACTGCACTGAGAATAAATTTGCTAAAACAAGTTTCGCAGCTGGGGACTTTATAAAAGCCTTGCAAATCTGAACCCACGTGGTTTTCCACCACGGGCAGAGCAATTCTACGTCCTTCCAGTGTTGGTCCCACAACAACATGGAGGAGGTGGCTGAAAGCAAACTCTGAGGGTTTTTTTTCCACCACAAATTAAAAGGTACGTCTGAAAAATGACTCCACATATCTACTTTTAGACAATACAAAAGTATATAAGTTCATTTTCATGCAAAGTTATTATTTTGGAGTTACAGGGCTAACCTGAGGGACCTGGGAGTAGGGGGTCAGAATTCACCAAGGTCATCATTAGAACAAGGGGAAAAACATCAAAATTGTTAGAAATATCAACAAACTAACATATTCAACTAAACCTTTCTTTTTAGATTTAGCTCAATATTCCTTTACATACAGTGTGCAAAACACCAAACTATTATTATTCAGAGCAATGAAAACAGACATGTGGAGTAGCAGCAATATTCTGTTGCCCTGGAAATTGGCTTAATTTTATAATCAATTAATAAATCTGTCCCCAAACCATCTATCAATGTTTATTTTAGGGACAACTCAACTGAAGTCAGAGAGCTACATCATGTTTGACTTCATCACTGTTACTAATCTTAGAATATACACAGAAGTCAACAACAAACAGTGTACGCAAACAGCTTCTGGTTTTATTTCTGTCCCTGGAAGGGGTAATTTGACAGCCACACAGCTGCTTTTATGAGTAACTGCCTTATGTTGAAATGTTACAAAATCAGCCTTCCAACAATAGACTGTGTTATCATCAGAAACAAAAGGCTGGAGTGCTGATTGTACCAGAACTGCAATAATAGTTTGGTTTATCCACATTAGTTCACACATAACTGAGCAAAACAAATGCTTCACTTTATACATTGCATGCAACAAAAATG